GCGACAGTAGAGGAGTCGGCGGCGTCGACATTCTCGTCAACAAGAGTTTGTCCATGAACATCGATTCATTCGAACAACTAACTACCCGAATCGGATATTTGCGATTAAAAAGAAGTGGATTTTTGACGATCTTTGTCGTTTACGCGCCGACATCAAACTATGACGAAGAAGAAGACGATGCGTTCTATATGGACTTGGAGAAGTTCTACACAGAAGACCACATATTCTTCAAGGTTATCACTGGAGATTTTAACGCCAACACTGAACCAAGAAGAACGTCTGAAGAACGTCCCCTTAGGACCCACGGCTCAGAGTGGAAAGAGGAACGAACAAGGTGGGAGGCTAACCAAGTTTATCATGACGACAAAGACCATCCATGGTAACTCATAATTCCAGAAAACCCACCCTCAACGCTGGACGTGGCAGTCTCCCAATGGAGAGTACCTTAACGAAATAGACCACATCATGGTAAATCGACGGCTTTCCCTTACTGGTCTCGCTGTTGTCCCAAAATTCTATATGGGATCAGACTACCGCCTCTTTCGTGCAAACTTTTATTTCTCATGGAAAGGAGCCGCTAAATTCAAAAAACGAAGTGCAAGAACCACCATAAACTGGTACTTGTTCAATTCGTCAGCCGGTTGCTGGGAAGATGCCGTTCTCGACAATATCGACGAAGAATACGATCGGCTCATTTAACATCTTCATGTTAGCGCTTTGAAAGCTGAGAGTTCGAAAATTACCAAGAGACGTCTGTCTCTAGAAGAACGCGAGCTGATACGCCACAGTGGCATCGCACGAGGTGCAGGTAACCGCGAACTGACGTCTAAAGTTGCAAAACAATGCAGACAGGCGACAAAAGAAGATCTTAAAGAGAACAGCAGCAGTAATGGTCGAAGCTGCAGAGCTCTGAAAAAGTATTCCCATCGAAGCTTCGCCAATTACAGAACCAAGGTGCTTTCACTCCGACGAAGAAAGAGTGGAGCGAACTCCAAGAGCATATAATTGTGTTACTGGATGACCAACCAAACGATGGGTTGACGTGTTTGTGACTAACGTCAATCATATGCATTCGCAGACGGGAAAGACTTTACGACTATGATGGAGTGGGTTTCACGGATGTCGCCACGTTAGAATCAGACCATTACCATAGACGACTATTGCGCGAGAAATGAATGCTGGAGCCACACTATCATGAAGACAGGCTGTGCAAGGATTGAGGCATCCAATTAAGTGTTGATGGAGACCAGTCGCACAGAGTTTGAACAATGCAGACAGGCGATAAAACAAGATCTTAAAGAGAACAGCAGCGGTAATGGTCGAAGCTGCAGAGCCCTGAAAAAGTATTCGCAAAGCCCATCGAAGCTTCGCCAATTACAGAACCAAGGTGATTGCACTCCGACGCCCAGACGGAACAGCTACAGCGTCCAGAAAGGCAATGGAGAAAATCATTCACAAATACTACTCATCTCTTCGATAGCTACGTTCACCGCCCATCATACGAAATAAAGCACTATGGATATGTCGTACCACCGGTCTCCCTCCCGAAATCCGACATGCCATTTCGCCGGTGGAAAATCGAACAGCGCCAGGTCCTTGCAGGATAAGACCAGAACACCTGAAACCTGAAGAACCTTCCGCCAGTCCTCGTAAACACACTGGCTCGGCTCCTCACACGTTATCTCTCTGAATGCAAAGTCCCTACTCAGTGGAAGACCAGCAAGACCGTGTTACTGTTAAAGAAAGGTGATCAACACGATATAGGCAACTATCGTCCAATTTGCTTGCTGCCTGTCGTCTACAAACTTTTCACTCGAGTCGTCCTAAACAGGATTGACAGAATACTGGACGAAGGACAACCATGTGAGCAAGCAGGATTTTCAAAAGGATTTAGTACGATGGACTACATCCACACGATAACAAGACTCATTGAAGTATCGCGAGAGTACAAAAGACCGCTCTGTCTCACTTTCATCTACTTACAGGTCTTTGATTCAATTGAGAAAGAAGCTGTAATGGAAACCCTAGACAGTCAGTGAGTCTCTGCTCAGTATATAAAATTCTTCGCGAGCTGTATAAGAATTTCACAACCAAGTATCACCATTCTACAACGATATTAACCTCGACGTCAAAAGAGGGGTTAAGCAAGGCGATACTATCTGGCCAAAATTATTCACCGCCATTCTCGAGAACGTCAAGAGAACATTGGAATGCGATAATATATAGGAGTGAAAATCGGTCACCCTTATAACACCAAACATTAACCAAGCAAAACGTATGTTTGCCTACTTTGATAAAGCCTCTGGAAAGATTGGTCTCCGACTAAACCTCACGAAAACGATGTTCATGAGGAACAGATTGATTTTGTATGCCTTATTCACGCTCAATGGAACGAATATCAACGATTGGTCCAGTGATGTCTATCTAGGTCGGGAAATCATTACGATGAACGACTAGCTCCAGAGCTGAGCAGAAGGAAACGAGCGGCTTGTGGAGCTTTCAAGAGCATCGAGCATGTAGTGATGAGAACAAAGGACACCCAACTCGGTGCCCACCTTTTCAACTCAACGGTACTTCCTACCCTAACGTATGCGTCAGAAACCTAGTCGCTGCGTAAGCAGGATGAAGTATTACTCAGCGTTATTGAATGCGCAGTCGAAAGGACGATGCTAGGAGTATTCCGTATCAAAAAAGCAAGGGATGGGATCCGAAGCTCCGACCTGCGTCAACGACGAAAAATCAAAGATGCCGTTCTGTACGCCAAACTGTCAAAGATAAGGTGGGCCGGACACGTAATGCGTATGAATGACAACCGATTGACAAGAGCCGTTATTGACTGGATTCCTCGCGATGTCAAACGTACTATAGGGAGACCACCGACCCGATGGTCAGAGTTCTTCATAAAGAGTCTTGAAGAAATACATGATGCTGGACGAGTCCCTGGAAGGAACAGAACCCACTGGGCTACTCTTGAACGCGAGAGGAAAAAATGGAGGATTTACTGGCGCCCGTTCGAGTTACTCGAACGGTACTATAACCGCTTATATAACCATTTCCGCATAAAACAAAATTGCGTAAATTGTACTAACGATACGGATGGCGCTTGCACGAGTTCGTGAACAGCATACCGGATTTCTTGTAAAGCGTGCGGCGACGATTTTATTAACGAATTGGATAGATCACAATGGGTTCGTGTAAAAAGACGCCTAGTTGATAAAAGAAAGTTCCACAATATACTTCATTAGGTGCGCATGAGACACAAAACGAACGCATAAGGGGAAAGGTTTCGAAGTAAAAGTCATCATGCTCATACATGCTAAAACTTCAGTGCATAAAACCCTCGATGCATTTTGAAAAAATCCTAAAAAGCCAAAAATAAACCGCAGTGAAGAATGCTTTGTTATCAGCGTAATCTTACGCAGTATCCTAGACTGAAATTTTGAGGTGGAAGAAGTTCGTTACCTAATTATGTGATCTCCGTGCGGTTGGACCCCACATGTAATACTCAATGAAAGACTCTTACGAAAGCGTGGGTGTGTGGAGAATCTGCTTTATTTCCAATACTATTGATATTTAGGTTTCGTGGTTTTTTAGTTGAGGTTATGGAGGCATTTGGCTGACTAAATTGCAGTCAACTTGATCTTGATCCAGGCGCTGAAGAAAGAAAAATCTGTCAAAATATCTGCTCCTGTCAACAGGTAGCATAATAGCGCCACATGTGTGCTCATTAGGAAAACACCGATTTATTCCTTGACTGATATGTGGAGATATGAGAGCAGAATCACAATAGCGACATGCCGCACATAATAAACATGTATGTGTAACGCCCCTAATTCTCGTTGTTCGCGTCTATTTAGCGCTTCATCTCTTGCCTTTTTGCGGAGTCTAGATTCATGTGAACTACATGCCACCCTACACAAGGATACCTTAGAAATGGGTTCAGATGGTGAGGAATTTCTCATTTCTAAAGATGTATCATAATTCACTGTTAAACTGTAGCCTAATTTCGAAGTTATAATAAAAATCGCTACAAGAAATTCATCAAAAAGCCGAGAGAGAAGCCGGAAAATCATTACTACCGAGCAAGACCTGCACTACACATGGGTTTGAAGCGGCTCGCTAAGCTCACCAAGCTTTGTATCTCTCCAGGGGCGGCAAATTGATACCTGTGTGGAAAAAGAGCAGCACTGGATCGACGCATTGGTAGGCTACAGCGAGTGATTAGATAGGCCGGTTATGCATTCAGACACCTCTAACGATGCCTAATAAAATCCAATGCATGGCGTCTCCCAAAGGGATTGATCAAAATCGAGAACGATCAAATGATTGATCAAAATCGAGAATAATCAAATGCGCGCTCGCAATTAGAATTGGACCCAAGTTTTGCACCATCACAGCCCATTTCTAAAACGACCCTGCGTAGGATAGCATGCAACCTTTATGAGCTTCAAGATCGACTCCGCAATCAGGCCAAGCAAGAAACATCAAATAGAGATAAAAAACACGAGGCGGCGACACTACCACCATCTCCTTTCCCAAAAACGTTTTTTAGACAGCAGGACCCTAACGATGGAGTTGACATAAAATTCCGCGTGTTTTCGGACGACATTCTCAAGACCCTTGATCACTACCGCGATAGAAAGTTTATCTCTAACCTTATAGCCGCACAAAAATGTGGCATGCGGGAAATTAGAGAATTAATAAACTCGAAAACAATAAGATTGTCTGTTAGTGATAAGGGTGGAGAGATCGTAGTTATTCCTCGCTAGCTGGACGTTGCGATAACAGAGGAACATCTTAGTGATGCTACTCTCTATCGCCCATCCTCTGAAAAGAAATATAAAAGTTAATACCGAAAACTAAATAATCAACGGGTCAGCGTTCGGTTATTTCGCACTTTAAAATCGATAGAACAACATGTCCGTCCTATACCTACTTATTAAAACACATAAGTTGGTATCACCTGATGATCATGCGTCAACCAATCCGTCATCATTTAA